TGGGTTTTGGCTCCTCTTGAATTAAGTCAGTTCTGCCTGACCCCTGCCCACCCCAACCCATCCATTCTGCCCGTCACCCCATCCTCAGACATCCCGTCCCCACTCTGCCCGTGCAGGCCCTCCTCCCTGGAAGTCCTCCCCCTTGTCTCCGGGCTCCAGCCGGTGTGAACCTCTGCTTCTTCGCAGGCAGCCGGTGCACGTCCACACGCCTCATGTCCCATCGTGCGCTGTGTCCTCCTGTGCTCTCCACCCAGACGACAAACCCGCAGAAGGAAGATCCCCACTCCCAGATGCTCCCCAGGACCCAGCCCCGGCTGGGATGAACGTAAATGACGCAAGTGTTCAGTGGTTTCAGGAAAACCTCTGAGGAATCTTTCTGTAAAGAGCCTCCTCCCCTCTTTATTAGGCCCAAGTACAGGGGAAGGAATTGGGGTTCTGGAGCGTCCCCTGGTCCGTGACCTGGCAGGGGGTGTCACAGTGCAGGGTCCCCTGTGGACCCCCTTTCCTCATCTGTGCAAAGGGAGATGTTCACATCTATTCCCAGGGTAGCCGGGTGATGGAGCGAACAAGCTGAGTGTGCGGTCAATACAACGTTAAATGGATTCCCTCCTTTCTTGCCATAATTTGCCTTGGCTGGTACTGCGGCTTAAGATGTTTTTCATGCGGGATTTGCTAAATGGAAGGCGTACCCTATTTTACGTAACCAAATATTATAATCAAGTAACAACTATTTCTTGGGTTCCCGCTCCGAGCAGGGGCCAACCTGCAGGATGGCGAAGGACTGGGCTTGCTGGCTCAGGAGTGAGGATGTGAAAGGCACCGGGCAAAGTCCTCACCCTTCAAGGGGCTTCCCTTGAAGAGAAACAGGAACAGATAATTGTCAACAGCAGGCAGGAGCTGGGAGCTGATTCAGGCCACGAAGAGGCAGCTGGGAGGAGCCCCCGGAGGGACGCTCCCTGGGCACCCCCTGGGCCACCCATCAATGACAAATCCCATTCCCACCCCACCCACATTCACGCTCACAATAACCCTTTCAGGCAGGTGAGATTATCCCCGTTTTACAGGTGAGGCAAGTGAGGCTCAGAGAGGTTAAGCAATGTGTTCAAAGTCACTCAGGCAGGGACACCAGGATAGGAACCCAGGTCTGCCTGACTATTAGCAGCTGAAGCTGCCACCACTTCCTGCTGGGACCAAAGGACTGGAGGAGGGGGGCTCCCCAGGCTACACCTTGTGCAGTTCCAGCTGCACCTTGAAGGCCGGGAAGGGTGTGGGTGGGCAGGAAAGAGGGGGAGAGGAAAGGGCCTGAGGGAGCTATAAGGGGCCTGGTGTGAAGGTGGCAGGCAGGGAGCAGAGGATCACGTCCAGAGGCATAAAGTTAGGCCAGCGTGTGGAGGGCCTTACATGCCAAGGTATGACATGGGGACGCTATCCAGGAGCCCAGAGGGCCACCGAGGCTCTGGAGCCTGGGTCACATGACACAGATACCTTCCTCTGTAGGAAGGTAGCTGTGGCAGCAGGTGCTGGAAGCAGAGGCTGCAGGCTGCCCAGGGAGGAGGCTGTGTGACCGTAACCTGGGGTGGGCCCCTAAAGCCTCCAGTGGGCCAGTGGCAGTGGGAAAGGAGAGGTCAGACTGGGTCAGACTGGGCCCAGAGGTGCCAAAAGAACCGAGAGGCTGAAGTGAAAGGGCACAGGAGAGTGGGCTGGTGAAGTGGAAGAAGAAGAGACAAGGGGTCCCAGGGGCCCAGGCTGCCTGCCTGGGAGAACCTGGAGCTCTCCGCAAGAGGGAGTCAAGAGGAAGCACTGGCCCGGGGCGGGGTGGCGGGCCGGCGGGCCATCAAGGGTGCTGGGGCAGCCAGGCTACAGAGGAGAGAATGCAGAACCAACAATTAGTCAGACCCCACACCCCAGACTCTTCAGCACCATGGGGAGGAGAGAGCACTGGGCTGACTTCGGAGAGCATGAAGATAAAGAGAGGCATGGGAGGGGGAGGGGAGGACTGAACAGCTTAGGAAGCAACAAGTAGCAGCGCAAGAGCACTGGGCCGGGAGTCCAGAGGCCTCGAGGTGGCTGCAGAGCCTCCGACAATTCATTCCCATCCAAGCCTTGGTTTCTGGGGAATCAATAATCCCTCTTTATGAGGCAATAATGCAGATCAAATGCTTGTGGGGCCCTGGTAGAGATCACATGAAGTAATTTTTCTGAAAAGCACTTGGAGAACTGCAGAACGCAGACCACACCTACGGGATCAGCAGTGTGCAGAAGTAACAAGAGATGCTGTCTTCCCACACTCACCGCCACCGCCACCCCACCAGCCGCACAACCCCCAGCTCCTCTTGTTTTTCGA